TACTTTAATCAAGAAGTGGACAAACACATAAGTAAATCTAAATCCCGGTAAGCACCCTGGACTGACATTTTCTTTCCTGTCAGCACTGACAAGGAAGGGAAAATTGGAGCTTAAAGGTAGGTCTGGTTGGGTCGAGTGACTATAACACATGGAAACAGGAGGTGAAAAAAAGGGTACAGGAAGGGCAGTTAAAAGGCAGGGGGCATAGAGCGCTTCCCAGAAAGGACTGAGTTTGAATCCTGCCTGACACTTACTAGCAACGTGACTACAGACAAGTCACTTAGCCCCTCTCCACCTAAGTTTCCTTATTTCTAAAATGAAGATGAGTCACCCCTTCCTTTCAAGTAAAGATGAATGTCAAGTATTCTGCAAAGCTTTAAAGCACTATATAAATGCTAGAAGATTCCACGAAGAAAACAGCTTGCTTTGCAAGTCTGCCTAGGACCCTTCTGCCAATCTGTGCTGATGTTTGTATGAAGACACCAGAACCAGTTCAGGAATCTTTACAGCTCAGCTTCTCCCAGTCTATCCTGATCTCTGCATTTTAATCTATGTATTCCCAGTCCCTCCCTCCAGGTAGCAGCCAGAGAAGGAATAAGGGAAGAGGAGACAGCATGACGGAGGGAGTGGATCAGAGGTCAAATCCTGGCTCTGCCACTAAATACTTGTGTAGCTGTATGCAAGCCAATTAAGTTCTCCGGGATTTAGCATCTTTACGTGTTAAATGAGGAGGCTGGATAGAAGCCAGGTCCCTTCCAGACCTGTCCATGTTCTCTACGAGATAGTCATAGGCCTCTCATCCCTGCCCTCTTGAGCATTAGCACAAAGATTATTCTCTGGATTTCCCTACTTTAAGGAAGTTAAACATATTTCTATGGTCTGCACAGGATCTATAGAGAGAATGATCAAGTACAAAACACAGAGACTTTCTTAAATCATAGAGCCAAGACAGAACTCAGAGAAACTGGGTCCCCAGATCTAATCTCGGAACGTAAATGTCTCAGGTGCTGCTCGGTGGTTTTGCTTAACGATTTTCTGGGAGTCTACTTTGGGGTGGTTTGTTAGAAAGCCTCTGTCCAGTCAGCAAAAGATCTCTCAAAGAGTCAAGACAAAATTTTCCACAGAAATTAACAAATGTCACGTTGTTTCTGCTTTCCTCAGCGGTGTCTCCAAACATATAAAGAAGGGAAGAAATATGCCAGGGAGTTGAAGCAAACAAGTCACTTCCTGTCTGGTCCATGCCAACAGCAACATGTATGTGCCTTTCAGAGACTTCATCTACTTATGTACAAAGAACATAGGATTTTGTCCCTCTGAACTAGAGTTATCAGCCCTGGGTGACTTTTCAGAAAGCTATTTGCTTTTGTAAGAGCTGGGTCAGGATTTTAGGGCAAGCTATAATGGCCCAGAGTCAACAGCATCTTCTAGTTAGCTCAGCATTATGACCACTAGGCAATTCTTCACAGAAGGCTGCCAATTTCTCTACTGCAGAGTAAATCTTAAATTTGACAAACGTCACAGCTTCTGTAGTTCTCTCTTGCCTCTAGGATTGATAAAACAAATGAACAAAAACTTTTTGGTATTCTAATTTCTTCACAATTTGGAGCCAACTTATCTTTCCAGTCAAAGTGGCCTACTCAAACACAACACTGCATCTCTCTTCTCTAAGACTCTGCATAGGTCATCCCCCATACCTGTACTTCCTCATCACCTCTATGTACTACTTCTCCCTTTAGAACCTCTAGCTTCCTTCAAAGTGACTAATGTGTCATCTCTGGCATGAGAGGCCTTTCACAATCTCCTCCAGCTATTATTCCCTCATTCCCTTCACAAAAAAAGTTTCTTGTATTTATTTTGTATTTGTCTTGTATCAGCTTAATAATATATGCACATACTGTTCTCCCAATAAATAGAATTGAAGGGCTTTGAGGGCATGAGTCAGTCAACAAGCATTTATTAAGCACTTACTATGTGCCATGCATTGTGCTAAATGCTAGAGATACAAAGAAAGAAAACACACAAAAAAACAAAAAAAAAATGACCCTGGCCTCAGGGAGCTCACATCTAATAGGGAGAAGAAAACATGCAAGTAATTGTATAGATATAACATTTATATTATGTACATGGAAAGTAATCACAGAGGGAAAGTATTATCAAAGACAGGGAAGGAGCAGGAAAACTTTCCTGTAGAAGGTGAAATTTGAGCAGTCATGAAAGAAGCCAGGGAATCTAGGAGGCAGCAGTGAGGGAGAACATTCCAGAGTTGGGGGATGGCCAATGAAAAAGCATATGGAGCGTCCTATGGGAGAGACAACAAGAAGGCCAGTATTGGTGATAGATGGAGGGGAACAAAGAATAAGAAGCCTGAAAAATAGCCAGATCCTGATCTCATACTATAAAGCAGTAATCATCAAAATTATTCAATACTGCTAAAAAATAGAGAGGTTGATCAATGAACTTGATTATTTACACAACATATAGAAGCAAAAGCACATAATAGCACAATATTCAATAATCTAATGAACTGAACTACTGGAGTAAGAACTCAATATTCTACAAAACTGCTAGGAAACTGGAAATCAATTTGGCAAAAGTTAGGTTTAGACTAATACCTCACAACATATCCCAAGATAAGCCACAAATGGACACATGACTTCGAATAAGCGGTGGCATCATAGTTCAGTATAATTTCTAACATGATATATACTACAAGCCCACTCAATTTAACTCAATCCAACAAGTATTTACTAAGCACTTACTTTATGCCAGTTCCAGACTGGGGACTATGGGAAATATAAAGATAACTTAAAGGATGGTTCCTGCTCTCAGGGTGCTTACCATCTCATCGAAGGAGACAAACATTTTGTACAAATGAAACAGATATATAGTCTTAGAATAGTTAAGTGCCAAAATTAATGGTGAAAGCATTAAGTGCAGTAAGATTTCAGAGAAGAGAATGGAAGTAGTCAGGAGACATCCCAGAAAGGGAAGGACCTTGCCTAGACTGCAAACATTGATGGAATTTGAGTAATCCATGCCTTTAGAAGTGTAGATTCTACTTTGAGAACTGCCCTAAAATAACCTTACCTCTCTAAGTTTTGGCTTCCTCATTTGTAAAACAAGGGAGTTGGAATCAACGACCTCTAAGAGATTTCTACTTTAAATCATATGGCCCCATGAAATGCTTCATAATTTCTATGGCACTCAAGAGGCTTCCTTTAGCTTGAGTAAAACCAGGTGATGTGTTTTATTTTTTGAGCCCTGGATAAGTCTAACCATGGGGCAGCTAGGTGACGCAATGGATAGAGCTTCGGCCCTGGCGTCAGGAGGACCATGAGTTCAAATCTGACCCCAGACACAAGATACTCACTGGCTGTGTCACCCTGGGCAACTCACTTAACCCCCACTGCCTCACCAAAACAAAAACAAACAAACAAACAACGTCTAACCACCCTTTCCACTGTTGATGCCACCTAGAACTTACTAAAAAACTATGTTCTGGTATGGCTTGGAAATATTTAATTTTTTCCTCTACAAAATCTCTCTTTTGCTGGAGCTGTAGAATCTTCCTCCAACAAATCCCCCTGTCCTTCCTTCTGGGTCACCAGAATGTGAGACAGGCTCTTCAAAGAGAAACCTCCCCCCCTCATCTACAAGAAGATTCTAGGTCTGATGAAAAGAATCTAAGTGCTGGGTCATTTCTGGACGGCTTAGGCTCAATGAATCTTTTGGAATTTGATCCTTGAAATTCAGTTTTGACTCAGGCAAAGTTTGGGACAGCATTACAAACAGCGAAATCCCTCTTTCTCACTCGTGAACTTACTGTTAATGATTGTGGCTGAACAAAAGCAATTCAGCTTTTGCCTATGGGATATTTTCTACAGCACAGAAAATGACTGCATAGTGCATTAAGGTTCAGTTGTATTCAATAAGATTTTATTAAGGGCCTATTATGTGTCAGCTACTATGCTAAGTACTAGGAATACAAAGACACAAAATATAAAACTTGGCTCTTAAGGAGCTAACACTCTACTGGGGACTGGAATCACCCAATAGCCCATGGTCCCAACAGCGTGATGCATGGTCAGGTGACCTCCTCCAGTAGAGCCCTCCCCCTAATCTCTATTAATTTAGATATCAAGTTTGTTTCCACAATAGTCTTGGGGAGGGGGAGTAAAGCATAGTACCAACCGGTCCCCCACTACCTCCCCCCACAAATTATAGCTAATTAAAATAAATAAAGGGAGTAGAGAAAAAGAGTGGGAACATTTTTGTTAACCTAAGCTAGATTTACATTGCTTAAAAATCTGAGCAAAATCTGAGCTGACTTTTTCTTTTTTTTTTTTTTTTACAGTATTTGTAGGAGCTTTTTGTGTGAGGTCAGTAAGTGCAACAGCAATTCTAACACCACTTGGAGGACTAGGATTTAAAGAAATATGGCAAGTATCTCTCATGGAGAGGGTGAGGACAAATCTCATAATTTTAGAATTAGTCTCTATGCAATAGAACCCCCATCCAAAGTTATGTGGAGAAATTTAAAAGTTTGTATGTATTTCAGATCCAGGTGAACAGACATTTAATTTCAGCAGACTGGAAAGATGCAAAGAACAAAAGATTTTTTATCATGCCTATTGTTTCTTGATTACTGTCCACACCCCCACCCCACCCCACCCCAAGCCAAATCCCTCAAATAAGCAGCCCTTTACAAGGTCTCCCCCGTCTTCATCAAGACCTTTCAAGACCTTTCAAAACTCTTTGGAGGATTTAATATAGAAATCCGCCCCTCCTTTTTTGAGGCAATCAGGGTTAAGCGACTTGCCCAGGGTCACAAAGCTAATGAGTATCACGTGTCTAAGGCCGGATTTGAACTCAGGGTCCTCCTGACTCCAAGGCCGGTGCACTATCCACGGCTTCACCTCGCTGTTCCAAAATAAGGCCTTTCCACGACCCTCTGATCACAAACATTAGATGAGATGTAATACAGGAAGATGTATACTCACCAAAAATATTTGCCTCTGAGATAGAGGAGATCCCGTGCAGAGTGAGGGTCAAGCTGGGAGCCTCTGTGAATAGTGGGGTCCTCCAGATGCTCCTGTTGGGGGATAGCATTATGTTGATTGCATCAAATTTTGCAGAGCTTCATGGTAGAGACCTGCAATCGCTCAAAGAACGTCGATTGCCCAGATTTCAACCTGCATCTGAATGAACCACCATAGATTTTCCAGCAGTACATCTATCAATAAAGATTGAACAATGAGGTGGGCCTAAAGTTGAAAAAGGAGGAGGTGAGCAGGCTGGATTGCTTTCAGGAAATTGTAAAGTACTTTTACTGACCCCAAACTTCCGGTAACTTCGAGGGTCCATTTTTTTCCCCTTATATAAATAAATACTTTACTAGTTTTGAGGTATGGCAGCTTGCAAAGAAATAAAAGTGAACATCACAAATAGGCAATAGCGGGGCAGCTAGGTGTTGCAGTGGATAGAGCACCGGCCCTGAAGTCAGGAGGACCTGAGTTCAAATCCGGCCTCAGACCAAACACTAGACGTGTACTAGCTGTGTGACCTTGGGCAAGTCACTTAACCCCAAACGCCTCACCAAAAACAAAAAAAACAAACAGGCAATGGAAAGAGTAAAGGCATATTGGGTGTGAGCAGGCTGCAACACATAACCAAAGATGAACACTCTAGAAAAAAAGAGAGTAAAGTATGTCATTAAAGAGTTGTGTGACAGAAAGGGAAGACGGCCTGATCACATAGTGGAAACAAGGGATGAGAGGTGGACAGCTCGCATGCTACATTGGTACTATTTAAGACTGTCATGGGAAATGATGGAAGGGCTCCAACACTGAGTGGGGGGGCTGCAGTGGACAAACTGTGGAAGACAGATGAGAGTCTCACAAGATGGACAGTTATGAATGGATTGCAATCTGCATCCCTGAAGGTAATTCCCAAATCAATGAGGCTGTATGAGTCCCTGTAACTGTTTGTGAGGCTTGCTCTTTCTGTGATATTACATCCACAGCTATGTTCAAAGACAATTAATGTGACTGAGACTATGTGACGCCTAGAGAACAAGCACATCACAGAAAGCTCTCCTTGAGCACAAAACACGTACAGCAGATAAAAAGATGAACTAATAACCTCCATGACCACTAAACAATATTCTGCAGAAGGAGCCGGAAGACTCGGATTTAGATGTCAGGGTCTTGCCTTGTTTTGTGTGATAATGTCATTCATTGATTTTATATTGAACTGAATAGTTTCTAGAACTCTTGCCCCAGACATTTTCCAGAACCCATGCAGACCACCCTAGCTCTTCCCTTAGACCCTCCCTTGCTCTCCATTGGTTTTAGCTCACAGTGCTTGAATCCTAGTTCTAAACATTTAGAAGGACCCAAGACAACTAATCTCAAGAAGACTCCATTAATTCAAGAATCACCTAAAATACATTTTCTCTGAATATTAAAGACTTCTACTCTTCTTTCTTAAATTTGTACATAGCTCTTGTGGACCAGAATGGCAACTTTCAACAGGAAAAGGATATTGATTTCATTTTGTCTAAGTCTCTACCCGGCGAAAACTAAACTCATAAGATCCTTAAAACCACATTCATTTGCAGACTGCCAGAGAAGTAAATTTCAGAAAAATTGTGAGGATTTTGTGGCCACCAGATATAGGAGAACAACTGTAAGGGTGGGATTGACTGAGTGACTGATTCAATCAAGTCATCCCATCCACTTAAAGTAAGAAATAAAATGCCCAATCTGAGTCACATACTTTAGATTAAGTAGGAATTGGATTTTCCTGGAGGCAACAGTATTTTGATAGATCAAGGACACTTGATCACAGAGTTTTCAATAAAGTTGTGAATGTGGACAGAACACTGGCCCTGGAGGCAGGAGGACATGAGTTCAAATCTGGTCTCAGACACTTACTAGCTATGTGATCCTGGATTAGGTCATTTAACTTAAAGAAAGAAAATCCGGCTGCAGACCCATAACACTAGCTATGTGACCCTGGGCAAGTCACTTAATTCCATTGCCTAGCCCCAGCCCCCTAAAAAATGTTTAAAAAAAAAAAAAAGAATGTGAATGGAGTCATTTAAGAGCTTTGAGTTAAGCTTGACACTAAGGAGGGAGTTTACTCAGGTGGAGAAGAAAAACTGGCCTTGGCTAAATCTTCCCTCCCCTTCCCCTTTGGCAACTGGGGAACCTTGTGAGTTTCTATGGTTCCAAAAGTCATTGGACTTCTCATCTTCCCATCAGCATCCCTGGGTCACAAAACCAGATTAAAACATAATTGGGAAATATTTAACAAAATAAATCAAAGTGGGGCAGTGGCCCAGTAGATAGAGCACTGGCCCTGGAATCAGGAGGACCTGAGCTCAAATTCGGTCTCAGACTAGACACTTGACACTTACTAGCTTTGTGACCCTGGGCAAGTCACTTAACCCCAATTGTCTTGCAAAAAAATATCAATCAATCAAACTACAATAAAACATAGGTAATAGTACTTTTTAGAACTAAGTCAAAGCTGGCAGTGGACCCAACAAGTCATACCTTCACCCATCCTGACTGGGTGTCTCCTGGACAAATCACTCAAATTCTCTCTCTCGGAAATTCTCTAAAACCATTAACATGCAGAGAAGGGAATTTCCTCACCTGAGAATTCTCCATAAAAATAAAATCATAGGCCCAGTCCCTAATCTTCTCCATATATTTTACACATGTACACATGTGTATGCTCTTTCTCTCTCACACACACACACACTTTTAAAGCTTCTATTAGGCTCCTCTGTTATGGACTTGCTCCTGGGGTATTTGCCCTTAATCAGGGATGTATGGGATGCTATGGCCCCCTAAATTAAAAACAAAACCCCAGAATTACTCGGGATGTAATTCTCCTAGAATTACAGAATACCGTATGTGTCTCTGGCTGCTGCCTGGAGTGTGGGTGCTATACAATGTCAATTGCTCACAACCCCTGGAATCATTTCACTTGATTCTTCTCTGAAGACGAGCCTGGGTTTGATATAGTGAACTAAGTGCCCTGAGAACCAAGAACTCATTGACATGCAGTCTAGCGTGTACCTCTGCTATCTGAACTGTGAAATGGAAAAGGTAATAACGTTGACCCAGAGACAGGGTAAGGAAGGGTAAGTAATTAATGACCACTAAGTGAATGGGGGAGAGGGGGAGGGGAAAGCATGAGGATATAAAATTACAATGTTTCATTATTATCACTACATATTTTTGGGGGGTAGTTCCAAGGAAGGAGATGTAACCTCAGTATGGGAAATGAAACATTTCCACTCATTTTCATGCAAGCTAAGAAACATTTTTTTTTTTTAGTGAGGCAATTGGGGTTAAGTGACTTGCCCAGGGTCACACAGCTAATTAAGTGTCAAGTACTTGGTCTGAGGTCATATTTGAATTCAGGTCCTCCTGACTTCAGGGCCAGTGCTCTATCCACTGCACCACCTAGCTGCCTCAATAAACATTCTTTTAAAAAAATCTCAAGGAAAATAAAGAACATTATATACATATTAATTTTAGACTTTTTTCCTCCACTCCCTATCCCCGCAAAGGGGGGGGGGTGTCTTACATTTCTTCACTATGACCTTCAAGGCAGTTCTCAAAAACAGCCTTCAAAGATATCTTAGGAAACTAAGTTGGTTATCTAAAACATTTGTTGAGCCTTAAGCATATTTAAGAGTAACTTTTCTTCCCATTCAAACATATGGGATATGATCTGCTGAGAAAATCCTTAGCAGATCTATTCAGTTTTATTTTCAAATCAATCAATAAGATTATATAGAACTTGACAACCTTTGAAATTACTTTTCAGCAAGCCTTGTAAATTGTAAACTACTCAAGCCTGAATAAATGGTAGCGATAAGTTAACAGTGGTTAGTGGTGCCATAGATAATTGCACAAGAGATAGAAGAAAAGGAGGCTTGGGTAAGTAAAACTCTTGAACGTTCTTAGCCGTAATACCCTTAGCCGTTCTTAGCCGTGGCAGCCTCAGCCAACCTAGAGTCTACATCCAGGTGGGAAATAAGGGTATTATCACACATAGAGAGAAATGCTGCCAATTTCTGCAGCCATTCTCAGCAATCATCTGTTGCAAAGTTCTTCCCAATATACTTGCATAATTAACCAAGGTTGAGTTTTTGATTAACATACTGTGCTTGAAGGAACTGTGACCCACAGAAACTTAGCATTTTACTCCCTCCTCCTCTCCCTCTACCCTGTCATGAGTACAAATTTCAAGGGCAATAAAGGTCTTGGCTGTTTGCTTACAGCAAATGGAAGAGATGCTGTGTCACAACGAAAATTTCACTCTGTAATGTCTACCAGTCACCTGTCGAAGACACTTTACCATTTAGAGATTTCTTTTTGAAAGAGAATAAAATGAAGGAGCATATATTTCCCAATTGAAAAGCACCTGAATTCTTCTAGCTTTTCAATAAAAGGCATTTTTATGGAAATGCCAAGTATTTTAAGCAACACAAATTTATCACCCCAAGATCAAAGTTACCAACGTTCAGAGATCAGGTGTTTGGACAGGGTTTTTTTTTAATGTCTTCAGCTTTTTCTGTCTTAGTTAACAAAGTGCTCTAATTGTTTTGAATATCACAGGACCACAGCAATCATTTAAAATTGTAGGGCAAACACATGCCCAGGAAGATATTAGGGGACTTTGAGTTCCCTGAGCAGAAAGATCCCTAGGGGTCTTACTCCCTTTGGCAGCTCAGTGTTAGGTTTTTAAAACTTTTTCACTTATACAAAATTTTAATGTACTAATTATCTCATATTTAAATATCACTTTGTGTTTAACCAAGTAGTTTATGACACTGTTTTTTATTCTCTGGGTTTTTTCCCAAGCCAAGATTTATACAACTGACTCATAATTTCTACTTTTGTGGATAATCTAGTTACAAGTTATCCAGATTTCTTGCTTCTCTTTTTTTCCCTTCGTGAATTTTACCATAGTTTAGCACATATATGAAAAAGTGAGCAGGGGTTCAAACCAGTTAATCATTTTACTTAGGAAAGAAAATTTAAAGCTTTAAGGAACCTTAAAAATGAT